TAAACATGCAACCCTTCGTGAAACCTTTTTCATTTCATATACATGTGCTATTCAATAAACAGCTTTGTGTTGCTCGTTCTTATATTCTAGTTTGTTTATAACCACTTCATGAATGTGACCTTTCCTTGATTGAAAATTTGTAAGGAACACATTAAAATTACAAATCTCATCGGACAAAACTACTGCTATCGCTCAACAATTTACTCAAAACTTAGACTAGAATTTGGTTCCTTGAAATAAGATTCCTTGGGCAATTCAGAAAAACAACTTTCTGCCACCTATTTTAAACGATGAATTGCTTGGATGAAATGAAAGTGACTTGACAAAGAAGTAAACAAATAGCAAAAAGTCGGAAATGAGAATGACAACTGAGAGAAACTGATTATGAAAATATCAGTGTGTTTTTGTAATGAATAAAGTTGTGATCGAGTTCAAATAATCAAAAGTCAACGTTCATTCAAACCAATATCAACACCTTTCCAATCATAAAAGATTTATTCGACTGTTTTCAAGTACAATCTTTTTATTTATTGATAACGGTAAATGAACGTTCATTACGAAATTGCTTTGTAATTTGATAAGCTGCAGAAAAAAGCATTAAAAGTGATTCCCTGTTGTGAATTGTTCTGAATTCAAAGTTGATTCAACTGTTACCATGTAGGCCATTCAGTAATCATCAATCTCGTCAGACGTTCTTGCTCAGTTAAATAATCTGATATTACATGAATGATATAAATACGATCAATCTCTCACAAAGCCTCTTCTCATGAGCAAGTCAATGTTTCAGTGGTGATTCTTTTTATCTTGATGAATGTATTTTCACAGAAATGAATAAATTCTTTGAGAAAGACAGCTAATCTAATCAGAGAAAAATACAGTTGTTTTTCACTTGGTTATACGGGCGCGGCGGCGTAACCGGAAGCGATGACATGTTTTCAAAAAACAAGGGTAATTTCATAAGCAAAAGATCAACAATTGAGCCCAGTTGGTAGTGGCTGAGAGGGTTTTGTTTCGTATCAACTGATTTCTCTTGATGAGTCAAGCATTTGAACAATTATTCTTGCTCATTTCATAATCAATCGCAATGATAATGACAACTTCAGTAGTGATAATAAGAATGAGTTTAATAATGAAGATCTACTAGAAATATTTCACTAAAAACTGACAGATCATCGTTTATAATAACAGATCGCACCGGAAATGAACAGACGAATGCAATTAACTGACGACTTATCACACCGCTTAATCAACTGTGTAAATATTATCAATGATTAATATGCCAAAAATAGATGCATTCAAGCAAAACAATTAAACTACTTAAGTGTTTCTTTAGAAAATGCTTATTCGATCATTGAGAAAAGTCAATTAGTGATCTTCATCACATAAATTATCGAATCAATCATTATACAATCATATACACATTTACAACTAATTTTACTTTTTTACTTTACAGTTACAGAGACAAACAGAAATACATTCATGTGCGTTAACATGAAAATAAATGATTATGATAAACACACATTCAATGACAATAAATCATCTATCCATTTCATCCTCATTTAAAATAAATGAAGTGTTCGTTTGATATATATCGAACACACAACCGAAACAAAATCGCTGCAAATTATCCAAGAGGATTTCAGTTGAAGCGCACTGAAGTTGGACTGTATCGGAAACATTCGAATGTGAAACCAGTTTATTAAATACTCACAAAACTGAGTGTTGAAGCGCTCAGTAAACATTTACTATCAGATTAAATCATATGAAAGCAACTGATCATAGAGCAAAACTGAGATGATGTATGGCAAAATTAGAACACTGCAATTCTTATGGAACGATAAATCGATGGTGAGATAAACCGTTCTATGGCTACTTGTAAGGTGAACAATTATTGCAAATGATGTTTGAAAATGAATTTATCAAGATAAGGACATACCATGATTTTATCAGTGTTCATACACCATATCGCACCACGCAAGATCAATTCAATATCACCAGGAATCTTAATTATTTGAAGAATATCCTATTGTAGAAGCTGTTTTTCTCAAGATGTATCACTAAGAGTTAATGAGAAGAGTCTAAATCTGGCGAGTTTTAAATACTGACCATGAAAGCAATCTGTTGGAAACGACTGGCTTTTTTGGAGAAAATGTAATCTGAGAGCAATTTACAGACACTGTTGAGTGACTGTTACCACTTTGATTGGAACTTTTTGACTGTTCATTCAAAACTTTTTGTGACCAAAAACTTTTAAAGAAAAGCGCATTTTTTGGATATCAATTTTGAGTAAACCCTCGAAAAGCACCGCAAACAATATCGCATTGATCAAACAGAAACAAACTTAATCGTATGATTACCTTCTTTGATGATTCAGCATCACTTTCCTCTCCAAAATCAGCAATCACTATGAATTAAAACAGTTCAAAATCAGTGATCAAAGATGAAAGCAATAAACTGATTATTGATGTACTTTTAGTCTCATTTATTCACTTTGAATCTAAAAATAGCTAAATAGCGAATCTGTTATTAAAATACTATTAAGTTACGAAGAGTTAGAAATTTATACACAACATCACACTCTCCACTCAGCAATTTGATAGCCGTAACGCAAAATGAACACTCATTAATATTTTCATCTCATTATTATTCATCTTTTTTCTTCGGTAACGCTTATTTTCACTCATAAATTTTCATCTTTGGACACGCTGAAAGCGATTCCCTTCAAGACATAAACCATCATTGTCTTAACACCTATGTGTTTTTATTTGATTGCCCTTATCGAATTCGTGATATAAACATTCAACTTGTTCACAAGCTTCCTACCGTCCCACTGATAAGCGTTAAGAATACCTACGACATTTATGTTGACACTGCAGGCAGGCTGTATGTCGTAAGCAACATACAGCCTGCCTGCAATCTCAACATAAACGTAAATAACCATAAATTTCACTTTTCCGACACCAAAATTTGCAATATGAAACTAGTTGGTATGCTATTATTTTTTGTTGTCACTGAATCTCGACATATTTTTTCTACAACAAGCCAACTAGCACCTCAACATCACCTCACCTATCAGGCAATATTTTATTCGTCAATTCATCTTATGATTTTCACGTTAACAGCCATGATCGCTTGCATACATTCATGAAAATACCATTGATAATTGAGATTCCACTTGAAATTTGATGATAAGTATTTCAATGAAAATAATAATAATTTTATGATGATATTTGGTTTGAGCGATTGTGATGAAATGATAAGAAGACACTGTATCAATGTCAGTGCTACGTTGATATCAACAACAAAAGTGATCGCCTTCGAAAGTGGACTACTAATCACACTAATGATGACATTCATTATCAACGACGCAGCTACACATTGCATTGAAATGCGAACGTGCCGAAACGAATATTATTCAAAATGAAAAAAGCGTAGCACGGTGAAGTGCATGATTTTGAGGGCTTTCCCATCCATTGAACGCTTAAAGAATTTGATTTCAACGCACTTCAGTTCTTAACACATCAAATGATGTCATGCACAATACAGCATATGAAAGGCATACTGAAGTACCTTGATCAGTTAATGTGACTGCAATACAAGCAAATTTTGAATACGCATTAAATTGAACTGAAGTGATAATAATTTACTTTTGACAATCAAATGCTACCCTTAATATAACGTCCAAATTGAAATGCAAATACGAACTGAGTGATTCCGAATGGGTGAAGTTTGCGGACTGCTTTTGTTTTTATTTGAGTTACCCGACATGTGAATATTGCGATTTATTTACATATGATTTCTAATCGCTATCATAAGATCTGTCGCTTTTTTGCATTGATAATAGACACATTAGGAATTCGAAACTCGTAAAGAAGTATTGATATGAAGTGGAGTAGCTAATTTAAGCATTAGAATACGATGGTTAAATTTCTATTTTACCATTATATGCTTCTTAAAATAGCTGATGAAGGCCGAAAAAACGAAGTGAAACGCTGACAACAACACTTCAATCGAAAGGATTATTTATCGAAATGTTTCAATAAAAATAAGTGTAGTGTGCTTGTGATAATCAGATGATAGATGAAAGATTAAATGGATTTCAAATAGAGTCGATTTTTATGCCGTAAAGCGAACGCTTCTTCTTCGTTTTGTGAGATGCAGACCAATCATTTGAAATTGCACTTAGAATTCAAACCATCAACTGATGACATTATTCCCTTTCCGATCATATCAATTTGGCACAACAATCATTGCCCGCCGCACATCTCCTTACATATGGGCGGGGCATATTCGTAGCAATAAAAGGCGAACCAAGACGGGGAAACCATCGTTGTTCAGCGGTGCTTCTTTTAGTTCCGTTTTTACAGTTGCGCATATTTCGAGCAAGCAAACCATATGCAAAATAATAGGTGCCGTAGAAAAAAGTCAACTATGAATCACCGTACCTAGTAGGATGTTTTACTCTGCTGTTTATTTATTTTCTACATTCACTCATATACCACCTTAATAAAACAGTCTTTTGATTTCGCATTAGGAATCGCGCTCATTTGCTTCCTTGTTCATTCACGTGCTCGCTCGTGATGATCAAATGAAATCAATTTGTTTATCTTCACTGTGAATATCATTGAAATCAACTATTTTGAAGATGTATTTCCTGATGAACTCGAAAGGTGTAAATCTGAATTAAGTTTTCACTTTTCATTAGTAGTATTCATTACTTAAAAAAAATGGTGCTAAACTCTAAAAGACGTAGGTGCTGGTGAAGAGCAGGTGTGCTGCGATGATTATTTACTCGTCCCATCGCTATACGAGTCATGACACTCGAAATAACCCCATTGACGTCACGTCACCCCTTCAACTCAGCGCAATGTAACAATGATGATGTATACTAAGTCGCTGTACGATTCAATCTCTGCCTATCAATCAGTCCCAACGATTCGAATGTATGAAGCTTCGTTCATCAGAAATTGAGTAGAACTATTGCAGACATATTATATTTAATGGATAATTCAATTATGAAGTTAAACTGTAATCGAGCGGTTAAAAGTGAGCACGACGACTCTGCATCGCTCATGGCCGAAGATTCATTTAGCAACGAGCGAGTACTCGTTGACTATGGCAATTATGAATACAGGTTATCGTTATTTCTATTATTTTAAACGTTTAATTATTGTCATTATTATTAATATTGCTAGTAGCAGTTATAATACCGGTCTAATAATTATCAACAAAAGTGACATAATGGGTCAACAAAAGTGAATGCAATAGGCGATTTTAATAAAGTGAGGTGTTGTTTCGTTTCCGATCCATATGGTATCAACCACGCTTTTATCACTACTTTTCACAATTCGGAGAAGATGAAATCAGGAGTTCAAATTTCCAGAAAGTTTTCAAATGCGAAGATGAAAAGCTATAATGATTTACAGGGATAATGCTTCAAGTTGCATTGGACGTGGTTCATTTGGACGTGTTTTCCGTGGTTTCGATATCAGTAATAGTTTGCCGGTTGCAATCAAAAAAATAGCGAGAATCGACGTGAAACCAAATGAATTGAAAGTGATGAAGTCTGTGAACAGTCCTTTTCTGGTCAACCTTATTGATGTTTTCATAAGTAGTGGTGATAGCGCATATTTCATAATGGAATTGTGCGATATTGACTTGGAACAGCATCTGAAATACCAAACCTCGAATGGTGCTTTGTCAAACAACGATCTGAGGTAAGAATAACTACTACACGCCGCAGATCATTTGTGTACTCATGATTGACATAAGAAATGAGATTATTTCTAGGATATTAATGGATAATGTCGTTCGTGGATACAAGGCCCTATACAATTGTTGCATTGTACATCGTGATATCAAACCACAAAATATCCTCATCAAATACGGTCCTCTTGGTTGTGAATTTCAAACTGCTAAAATTTCTGATTTTGGTATTTCGCGCATACTCAGTGAGGGGGATGAAGATGGAGCACTTTCGAATGTTGCCGGCACTTTTTATTATATGGCACCTGAGGTTGGTGCTAATATTCTGAAGACATGCGAGTACGATTACCAAGTTGACATTTGGAGTCTTGGATGCCTATTCTATCAATGTATTTCTGGACAAGTAAGTGTTCACTGCACGTTTTCCCTCATAACAACATAAGAACAATTACGATGATTCCTCAACCATAAATAGTATAACCCAATAAGTGAAAGCAATTTTTGTTGACAACAGTCAAATTTCTTCTAGGTATGATATGTAAGCCGTGTTAATATGCAGTTAAAAAGGTTTTTATTAGTCTCGCTATTACGGAGAATTTAAACGCTTTTTAAATGATTCATAACAGCAGATGAAACATAGTAGTGATCAAATTTGAATGGTTCAGGTACCATTCGACGAATGTGCTTTATGCAGAATATTTTTGTACGCTGCTTGCGGCAATTACGAAGCATACGAGAAACCCGAGTTGCCAGCGGGAACCGATGAGGAAGTTGAGTTGATCGTTTCATCGCTTCTTGAAATCGACAGCAATAAACGTCTAACACCACTTGAAGTGTATGCAGCCGTTTGTACATGGTCGAGCAGGGGTGCAAGTTGCATTAGCGATGATGCATGCAGCTATCAAAGTGACGATCGACGAGCCTCTATCACATATGTTTGATCGAATTCTCACTATTCGCACACTCAACTCGATCAACCGATCAACAATCTACCTATTCTAATCATTATTCTCACTACTCATCCCATCATTCAAACCAAATCAGTGTTAAAATACAAAAACAATTCTTTGCATAAAGTTCCAATTTCTCCTCTTATAATTAAAATTCTTTATGTCCATTACTTGCATTATATTGTAACGACAATGAATACTTAAATGATCTCAACATAATTGTGAATTGATCAAATGCCGTCTCAATGAATCAGCTGAATTAAACGTAAGTCGTCTGTCTGGTCGTTTCATTGCTAATATACCAATCAACCAATTTTACGCAAAACAGCTGCCGCATTCGTTACCGAGCGCTTACAAATATGTGTGAACACTTCATTTTTACAACTAACTTCTAGAAGAAACGAAAATATTCATATCATTCATAAGAGACGATCGACTACGTATATTTGGATGCTGTGAAATTTTCTCGCCGAAAATTTGATGCTTCAGATCGAAAATTTTAATGTTAATATGGTAAGCGTTTGCTATTTTTGCACTCGCCGCTTCGAATCATTCATTACCCGGTCGGAATGAGACCATTCGTAATAAAACGAGAAATTCCGTTGTAAAGCAGTAATATTGAACTGCACATGCAAAACGAAATGAAACTCTCAAAATGATGATCATAGTACTAACAGCTGAAATTAACGAAAAAGAAAACTGACAACGACTTGCTATTATATACGGGTGAAAGAGTTAATGCTAATAAGCCATGTTCACATGCAAATACTTATTATTATTATCATTGATGTGTATACGCATTCCATGCCGTACGAAATCAAACTATGTAAAGTGCTAATTACTGTTCATGATCAGTTGTAAATATTGTGTACACGTGAATAATGTAAATAAATGTTTTTCTCCCTAGAAAGCAACCACGATTTAGCATCCTGAGAAGCCCACATAAAAGACGGAATAACAAATGAAAAATAAGACATGAGCGTAAGAAAAAACCTATAGAAAATTGAGAAATCTGAGAGTTTGGCATCAAATTGGTATGGCTGGAATCGCAATAATTCCAAACTACACTCAAATCAGTATCAGAGAATGCATCAATGACATTCATTGTGAGATGGTTCTTTCCACTGAGACGTCATTGATACAGAAAATATCAATCTCTTCGAATGCGTTTGGCCACTGAAAACTTGGGACATTTGATCGGTTATCGCACCAGAAGAGAACGCATAGTTTTAGCAGTAGGTCATATTTGATGACGAATATGTCGATGTCATTTCTCAATATTCATTTCACGTGAAATCAGCTTCAATAGTCTTTAACCGCTTGCCGTAAAAGAACGACACTTTCAATCGGAAATGCATTCAATTTAATAATTTGAACTTAGGGAAATTATTTCGCTTGAAAGTCAGAAGAAATTAGTGAAAATCAAAGTGAACTCGAGCTGCTTTCTAAACAAGTTAGACAAATTGTCAACTTAATTTTTTGTCTCTCATCAACATCAGTTGGCAATTTTTTTGCCTTTCACCATATGCCTAAGACAGTTAATTCCCTCATTTTCCTTTATTTTGTTGCAACATCACGATCTGCTTGTCCGCGTTACGAAGGTATTTACTACGAAATGTTCAACTGTTACTACTGATATATTATTATGTCACTATTATTACTATGATTAATGACATCAATCAGTGAACATTTTCTTCTATAAACAGCGAATAATTTCAATGGCAAAAAAGTAAGAAGGAGTTGGAAGTAACTTTTTTTTTGTAGCAATATCAGCTGAACTTGAAAGAAGTACTGCTCGAGAATGTTAAAGGACGCAGCATATTGAACGGTAGTGATGCTGACAGCTGATTGCAGTGAGATCGTTACGAGAGCACGATGAGATGATTTGTGTTACTGTTTCGATAGAATTGTTGCAGTTTCAGAACAAAACACCAAAATCATTACCAAACACTCTTCAATGAAGATTCTCAATGCACAATTTGCAATAGCCTAAGATTAATACCTAATGAAACTCGTCTTTTTCACAACAACACAAATGTTTAAGAAGTGATGAACAATTGCCAGTAACTGAGAATGCTCCTTAATAATTATTAATTGCTGAATCTACCCTTTTCGTTCATCAACTGAAACACCACAGTAATGAATGTTTGCGCAATTACAACGAACCGTTCCGCGATAATGATTACTGAGCTATTTTGAAGGTGATATTTGGATTCAGAATACAAAACTATACAACATCATTAAAGAAGCGTACGACTTGTCAAGATTTGTCTATACGTTGTTATTTAACTAAAAGCTATGACATGGCGAACGGAAAACAAAGAAACAAAATAAAACAGATGATACTCAGGAATCAAGAGTAGATCATGCGTAAACAGAATTATTAGAAGAAATTTCAAACAAGTTATGAATTCACTGATGAAAAATACAGTAAAACCATAAATGATAACTTGGAAAAATGATAGTTTGCACGAAATCCGTGGATCCCGACTCTTAAATCACAATCGTAGGATTCACGTTCTTAAAAAATCGCGGGATTTCGGGATCTGATAAAAGAATGCATTTTGTGTGCTTTTAGTGATATACCCATCTCGAAACACGCATTAATCACTTTGAGCTCATGTATGTGCAGTAATATGTGCTGCTTATTAGCAAATAGAAGGGTGAATCATTGTATAATAACGCATCTCGGCTTTCTTTTTCACGAAACAGTGATCAACACGTTCACAACGTCATCACTCTTGTTTCGTATTTATCATTCGTTTATTACGGTCCATCAATTCTTAGAATGTGTCTCAGTGCATGTTCACCCGGATACATTCAAAAACATGACGAAAACGGTAATCATTCTCCTTGTTAGGAATATTTTCTTTCCAAAATAAATGACCAAACTGCGGAATGTAAAGTTGCTAGATCTCGGAATTTAATCCCGAACCTGTAGTTGAAAAATAAAAACCTTAGGTGTGACTATATTGATAGAGTTTCGAGAATTCAACAGTTTCGCAGAAAAATATCAATAGTCTGTTGATATGTGAATATCTTAAAAATCACCCTAACTGAACTGAATATTCCAACGAATATAGAGTTAATTCACCCACCTATTTTCGATCAGCACACTCCTGAAATTCAGTTGTACAATAACGCAATATATAACAATTTCTATAAGTGAGATAAAATTCAGAACTTCCAACTCTCAGAAAATTCCAGTTTAATTTCTATGGAATTTCTTCAGTATCACAAAACAGTGACTAATTTTGATTGGTTTTCATCAATAACAAAAAAACTATCTGAATCCCTTGTTGAAGAGTTTTTAATTGGAAACATTCTTTGAGCGCGATAAAGGTAAATAGTTCAAAACTTTCGCATGAAATTATGTTCCACATTTCTGGAAAAATTCGTTATGAAATCAAGTCATTTAATATTGGGTCTTAGCAACTTTTGGAAAAAATGAAAAAACAGAAACAAAGGAACAGAACTGAAACTAATAAACAACTGAAAGACAAGAACAATTCGGCTGATCGTAACAACATATAATACTGCATGAATCTAACTTACTGAGCAGACATTGCATCTTGCAGGCTTTCCATTTTTTTCACATTCTGAAACGAGACGAATACTTTCATTTGATTTCTTGCTTCACATAATACAATAAATCAATGAAAATTGAATGCCCGTTTGTTTTTTCATTCTCACTTTGAATTATAAACACTTTCAAAAATGAATGGAGTCGATTTCGTTGAATGGAAAAACGCTAGTCGTTGGGGGAATGAGCAGGAAACATGTTTTATGCTGCGCTTTCGAAATGCAGACAATAATTTTTGCAATTAAATTTGAACAGAAATCACATGTGTACATTGAATATGTGAGCATTCTGCAACGTATTTTCTGATGACAATAGAAAATTTAAAAACTGGACGAAAGATACATGTAGTATTAATCGCAAACGACTGAAGAGAGATAAGTGAACAGTGATCATACTGAGTCACATAAATCACACTGAAAAGGTCAATTCCAAATGAGTAAACTTACTGCATACGATTGTTCAATTGTGTTGTCCAAATACGAAAAATTTTTGATAGCTGTTGTGAGTAGCTGAAAAGCGATGAACCGCTGAATGAATAAGCTAAATTTTGGTGATTACCAGAAAAACGGAAACAATTAGATCAAAAAGAAATTCGCGCAGTTTAGGTTCGCAAATTTCTTGGAGTAATGCGGGAAAAAGGAAAGAATGGTATCAAAAATAAAATCCGATATTCGTTCATCAAATTCAATAACATGCCTGCTATTTTTTCTACGAATTTTCAATGTAAAGACAAGAAAATGACCCACGTCATTTGACCGCGAAGCAGTCAATATCTGAGAAATGATCAGTCCACCATCTTGAATGGCATCTTGAATTTTGCATGGCAATCGAGTTCGACCTTCCAGAGGTATCGTATTGCTCATGATTCCATGGGACAATTACTAAAAAGACTACTAGTAGTTTACTCAATTTTACAACTATTCAATCGTATTAACTATGAAGTTTAGTGACCAAATTAAACCTGCTACTCGAGCCGCTCTTTCAAGCGACTGAAGCAACAGAAACAATGAACACAGACACAGTAAGTTAACAACAAAAACAGAGCAAAACTCATGTAATTTCAGCTAACATGTATATTCTCTTGAACAATTTCGCTGTTCCGTTGCAGAACATACACTAACCTACATGAGCACTGCATTAAGCTGAGGCGAAATCAATGCTAAAATTTTCTGATCTTCAATCTCTGACTTACTTGAACGATGCTCAGCATTTTCGTTCGAATTAGCTGACATTTTGCATTCTACAAGCTCTTGGAATGCACATTCGGCAACAAGCAGTAATATTCACTGAAGAATCTCGATGTAAAATATGCAACAATAGAACTCTGTATTAGTCTTACGTCGTCTCACTATCAAGTGTGTTCTTTTTGATGGATATGAAAAAAAAAACGAAAAAGTGAATATGTTTA